TTAGCTTCCTTAGGATAACAATTAACACTAAACCTGTTGTTCACCTGAACAATGTGCAATAATTATGTAAAATCTGACAGATCCACATTAATAATGCATCTATCCATCAGGTGTGTATATTTTAATGAGGTGCTGCAGTCCTGAAGGGTAGCCAGTGAGGGGACACCTGTGATTGGTTTTAACATACACATATATACACTTGTAACAAAACACGTAGCCTGAAGTGGCCAGCGCGGTGTCATTGGTGCGCACTTTCCTGCAGAGCGGGCAGACTTTGATGTGTGTGGGTGGTGTCTCCTGGCTGTGAAGGTGGAGAGGCGGCGGAGGGGTTGGAAGGGAGGTCAAGGATTTAACGGTGCTCTGGTTTTCGGATGAATACCACCACTCCAGGAACTGCAGGAAGAACACTCCAATCGAGAGGCTGCTTGACAGAGACACAGCCACACCACCAACCGCTGTAGAGACCAAGCGCTGAAATTTCTCTCGAAAGCTGAAAAGAGAGATTTTTGCTTTAATTAAACATCTTTATATTTTGGTAAACCTCAAGAAAAGAACGTAGCATAGCCTCAAAATAAACTCACCTTTGACTGGGACTCAGTGCCGAGCCCGATGGCTTAAGATCCAGGCTGCGTATGTCATTAGCCGTGAGATATGAGAGTTTAACCCCTGCCAGCCACAGAAGCGGAGAATGTGTCCGTGTTTTGCCGAAAACATACAAAAGCTGTTGGCAAAAGACCCAGCCATCCCAAGCCATGCACACAAAGGGGTACGCAGCCAAAAAAGCCCTGTACAACTTCTGCATGAAGGACTGAGGCAAGCGGATGGAGAAATCGTCCTCGTCTCTCTGTCGAGCCAGGATTTTTTCCAGTTTGGTGTGTAGGTAAGGAAGGAGGGCCAGAAGGAACAAGGAGTGCCAGTGCTCTCTGCGGTGGAGTCCCAGATGAGCTGCATGTGTGCTGTCTTCTCCTACACGCTTCAGACCGTAGAAATTCTCCGAAAATGAGGCGCTGGTGCGGGAAAGGAAATGATGCTGCAATAAGACATCCAGGATAGCATAAATCTCATCAAACCTCCTCCAAAGAACTCCATAGCGAGCGGGGTTAGACGTAGCAAGGATCTGTGGACAAAGACGGGGTTTGCACATCAATGTTGTTCAATGCCAGTAAATACTGTAAAGTTTATTTCATTACTATATTTTAATATATGTAAAACAACAGAAGTATGTTTGCAATGGTATGCTAGGGGGGTCCATGGAAATGTACAGAGAAAATAGAAGTGTAAAAAAATTATAAATATAAGATTAAAACCAAATTTATTTCAAAATCTGATAATAAATGAAAATTTAATTAAACTGATAAGATAAATAAATATATAATATACAACAGTACAGGACTATGTTAAATTATAAACTAAATATTTTCCAAATTATGTTTTAGACGCATAATAAAATTTTTGAATAAAAAGACTGAAATATATTGCATAAGTACTCAGTACTTAGCTGAAGCACCTTTACAGCCTCAAATCTTTTTGTGTATCATCACTTGGCATTTATCTGCTATTCTTCACCTCTCTAGCTCTGTCAGGTTGGATGGGGGCAAGACGCACATTTTCAGGTTTCTCCAGAAATATTTGATTGGGTTCAATCCCAGGCTGTGTCCCCACTCAAGGACATTCACACAGTTGTCTATAAGCCACTCTTGCTGTGTGCCCTAGGTCAGTGTCCTGTTGGAAGGTAAAACTTCTGCCCAGTCTGAGGTTCTGAATGCTCTGGACTGGGTTTTCATTAAGGCTATCTCTATATTTTGGTGCATTGAGCTTTTCTTCTACTCTGACGAGTTCCTCAGTCCCTGCCGCTGAAAAACAGCCCCACAGCCCCACTGCTGCCAGCACACTTTACTTTTGGGATGGTGCTCTGCAGGTGATGATGAGCAGAGCTGGTTTCCTTCAAACATGATGCTTAGAATTTAGGTTCATCAGACCAAAGACTCACAGTCTGAGGGTCCTTTAGTTGCTGTTTTGCAAATTCCAAGTGTGTTTTCATGTGTCTTCACTGAGGAGAAGATTGAGTCTGGCCACACCGCCATAAGGAAAGAAGAATGAAGTGGGTGCGTTGACTGTGAACTTCAGAAAACACAATGGACCAACACCAGCAGATGACATGGCAGCCCAAATCACCACTGACTGTGGAAACTTCACACTGGACTTCAAGCAACATGGTTTCTGTGCCTCTCCACTCTTCCTCCAGACTTTGGGACCTTGATTTCCAAATGAAATGCAAAATTTACTTTCATCTGAAAGGAGGACTTTGGTCCACTGTATTTTCTGAAGTCCACAGTCAACGCAGCCATCTACCAGGTCATTTTAGAGCACTTCATGCTTCCTTCTGCTGATCAGCTTTTTGAAGATGCTGATTTCATTTTCCAGCAGGACTTGGCACCTGCCCACACTGCTAAATGTACCAAAAGCTAGTTAAATGACCATGGTGTTGGTGTGCTTGATTGGCCAGCAAACTGGCCTGACCTGAACCCCAGTTTAAAAAAAAGATGCCAGTCATCGTGATATTTAGTTGTTTTAGCTTATTTTAAAGCATTTTACATCTTGAGGCCCCCTGGAAGTTTGGTGAGGCCCCTAGTGGCACCCGGGCATCTGGTTGAGAGCAACTACACCCCCCACACAAGCACACACACACACACACACACACACACACAGTAACATGAGTAACATGGTGGTTCACTGGCAGGGAGACAAGGACATTTTTATGGATTTTAATGTAAGAGAGGCTTCAGGATACTGAATACCTTGCTTTTATGAGAAAACCTATTTTTGCTTGATGAGTTGACATCCTGTTCTCTAATCTTCATTGTCTTTATTATCAAATAATTATTTTGCAGTGAGCTACAGTTTGTCTACAACAAAAAATGATCTTGTATTAGCAAAGTTTTTGCGACAGCAAGTATCAAAAACTGCATACACCAAGATGTTTCACTAGTATAAATATAATCTCTGCATTCTATATAAAAGAGCTGATCTAGTTGGTAATGCATCTCTGCAACTTCCATTAGAAGCTCTTGTTCTCATAAAAACAGTTAGCGACCTAAAATTCATGCATACACATTGGCTGAGCCATCCTAAATCTTTTTATTTAACATGATTTGACCATAAGAAATGCCATAGACAGTTCATGGCTTATGTTATTGCTGATTTGAATTATGTTATTGAAATAGGAGTTTGGCAAGCAGTTCTTTTAAAATTGTTATTTCCCCATCATCACATATGACTCTGACCGTGCAAACCAGTTTGAGACAAGACATATTAATCAGCATGTTAAGAGCATTTTAAAATAAACATAATTGCTAAAACTGGGAAAATAATTTTTAGATAGCATGGAAAGACAGCATAAACTTTCAAATGACTAATTAACTTTGTTTTCTGCACATGATGAGGATTTTGATTATGTACATTATTTGTTTGTTTTTAGTAGATACTCATTTTAAGCAAATTATAAAAATGGTCCAGACTTCAAGAGGAAAACTCTGAACCGCTAATTTCTGTGCCTTCTGCCTTACGCATGTATCTATATGTAAAGAAAAAAATTGTCTATTTATTTTTTTTAAATTCTAAGACGCCACTGCCCTTTAGCTCTGAGGACCCAATATCCTAATGTGTAATGACTATCCATTGTATATAGATACTGGGTCTCTTGGAACTTTAATTAAATGACCCTGGTGTAGAGGGTGGGAAATGGAGAGACAACAACCAATAAAACAGACACCTACAACACACTCGTTATGTAGAAAATGCTTTTTAAAGTATTTTCACATTTGTGGTATCTTTTGCAGGAAGATATCTGGAGCTGCATTTTTCAAAGTTTTCAGAATTTGACATTCAGAAGTAATAAAGTTACAAGGATTTTTGCCAGGATTTTTACATGCACCACATGTAAAATCATTATTTTTTTATTTTTAAAATAATTCCAGTTTCATGGTGTTAAAATGTGTTTTTATTGAATTTGTTAAAAAACATTTACAGCTTCCAAAAACAATTTTATTTACTCCATATATACATGTGGATGGCCGGTCACTCAGACAGCAATCAGCCTCCAAAAACAATCTTTTGTTTCTGCACATTCCTTTGATGGCCAACCATACGGAGAAAAGAAGCGATTTAATAAAACTATTGCAAACATTTTTTCATTACAAATAAGCTGATTATATATTTTGTAGAGATATATTTAAAACATTGTATAATAGTATTCAGTATAGTAGGCTATTACAACAAATTAGAATATCTATTTGAATATTTAGGCCAATTTTAGAAATTGTATGCCTTTTATGGTTTAGAGCACTATTATTTTACAGTATATGCATGACACCATATGAAGGAGCAAAATAAATCAGTAAAAGTTTTTACAAAGCCAGTTTTGTCTGTTTTCCCACCATATGAGGCCTTTAAATCTGATCTTTTTTAGAAAGCTGTTAATTTAAGGAATCAATGACAGGTTAACAGACAAAAACGTTACTGTGAAATTTCACAAATCTGAACAGTCCATTTAAACATAGTATGACCAGTCAATGTTTAATTATCCAATGAAATAAACCAAGTGAACCAACTAGTACGGTAAGAAATTATATATATTATTATGTGATAAGATTGTGCAGTTATGCTATACTTCTTCAAAAAAAATCAAACATAGGATGGTTGGCAGCGTTCAAAGGATAAAATGTAACAAAATGAAACAAAAGAAAAAAGGGGAGGCTCTTTAGGCACATGTAGTCACACATATTTTGGAATCTAGTCTAGATTCCTTGACTTTATGCAGCCCACTCACTGGTTTCCATGCAATCTGAGACAAATAACATTTGACGTGATATTATCTCTTGCATCACTGAATCTAACATGGCCTTGTGCACTGATGAAATAAACTCGCCGGGCTTGCATAAAGCCCACTTATATAAGAATGGTACATGATTGCAGCCACACACCCTATCAAAGTCCCCTGCTGTCTGCATCCGGTGTAACATCTGTGTGGCTCCGATCTATCTCACGCGTTCTTCTCGTTCGTTGGTTCCGCGCTTCATTTTGTTTTTCCGGGTGCGCTCCATCTTCCAGCGCCGAGGCAGCAAGCGCATCTCCCATCTCGCCGCGAAGTGCTCCAGTAACCGAAGATTTTCGTATACTGCGTCGATTCTTACATCCCTTGTGCGTATCTGATTTTTTGTGTTTTCATCACTTGTTTGCATTATAATTTAGATAGGACAGATGTCTGTATTTCAGTCGATAAAGGTCCTGCTTCCAAGGCTTTCACTAACCTAGCATAGCTGGATTTTTGGGTCACGCCCAATTAATAAACTTAACAGTCATAACATTTGTGAAGTACAGCTGCAAATATTAAGTATGACATATATTTTTAGTTTATGCAATCGTTTGGAATGCAAGGCTGTGCTACTGCGTTGCTGTATGTTCATGTAGCAAATGGTCTACATACTGTCCCTGATGATTTCCTGTGTAAATTGGGAATTACAAGCTTGTTTCAAATTTGTATCTGTATTCTAATTTCATTAAAATTGCCAGCCGTCAATAAAGGATATTTTGAGATTATGCTGTTGCTTTTATGCGTTCTTAAAATGTTGATATGTAAATGTGCTTTATTTCCTTCTCTTCAGATCTGAGAAGCTGTCAGAATGACTGACTCCAAGTATTTTACCACCAACAAAAAAGGCAAGTAAAGAGCTTATATTTGTTCATGTAGGCTATGGGATGGTAATAGGATTTAAAAAGAACAGGGCCCGTATTCACAAAACATCTTAATGCTAAAAGTAGCTCATAACTCGCCGATTTAGGAGAAAATCGTAAAAATAATGGGCGTGTCAGTCCTAAATGAAGGACTCCTAAAATTTTGCTCTAAGAGTATTTCACAAAGTGTTTCAAGTCTAAAACTAGCTCCTAAATCTGTGAAACGTTAGGAGTAGTGAAGAGGACTCCTAAGTCACTACGACCAAGCCACAAACTATCCTAAAATGGCTGTTATTAAGTCTAAAACTAGCTCCTAAATCTGTGCAAGGTTAGGAGTAGTGAAGAGGACTCCTAAGTCACTAAGACCAAGCCACAAACTATCCTAAAATGGCTGTTATTGCCGGCAATCTGCCTCTGAATGTAAACATTTTAGAGACATTTGATAATAATGACCTTTTAAAAAGATATCGCCTTTGGTTTTGGAGGTTACCCCAACTCTAAATTGTGATTTGATTATATCCTTGTTTTCATTAACCAGTTGGGCAAGAAGTAACAGCTGTTTTTGCGTCCAGTTTTTTATTTATTTATTTTTACGTTTGCACGTATTACTATCAGCCATGATTATTCTACTCTGTTAATTAAAAGGCTGTTTATATGCATATTGACTAATTGTTTACGAGAAGCATACATGTAAGAGGCTGACAATTAACTGAACATATACTTGTTTAATTAGTGACACTTAGCCTGCTTTTTAAAATCTTTTTAAATTAAATTTTTTTTCTATTTTTAAACCTTTATATATGGCAACATCGTGCTCTACAATATTTCTATGAATAAATCTCTGACAGAGTCTATCAGCCAATCACTGTGTGCATAGTAAGCAAGCATGATGACATCATCCATAGCAACGAGGTCAGCCCCGCCCCCTTACTCTGAGCTTAAGACTTCTCTCTATTCCTTAGTAAAAGTTTGTCTCAGCAGCTTTGTGAATAGGTTTTAAGAGAAAACTCTTAGCTAAAAACTTTTACTGAAGTTTAGGAGAACTCTTAGTGGTAAGATAAAATGTTTTGTGAATACGGGCCCTGATCTAAAACCCCTGAGCAATTTACTCACAGTTTGATATGATATTTTCTGTATGTTGTTTTAGACCATGTATGTTCAGTTCTGGTGTTTCGTTCTTTATTATGAGTCATGATAGTTTAGTGATGTAAATTTGGGTTGGACTCGGACTGAAATCCTGAGATTTTGAAAATATTTTAAACCAAGATAAAACCAAGAAAAATTACAACTGAACTCAAAACCCAACTCCATATAAAAATAATTATCTATAATAAAAATTTACTTGAAGTTTCACTGTAATAATACTACAATGTCTTCAGATCCCATTACATACTTTTAAATCATGAACTGGAACAGGAACATGCATTATTAATAAGATATTATCATTGATTCAGTATTCCAGATCCCCCCAACCACCCACACGTAAAAACCCATTGGATATGCACAAATCATAGAGGCTAAAATACACGTTTTGACTTCAAAATGTGAATTTCACCAAAGGCCACTGATTTTGAGGCATTATCAGTTCTGTTCCTGCAATAATTGTGGAACAGAATTATAAAATGTAAAAATATTAAATTTTTGTTCTTGAAATTTGCATTCAAATATGTTTGGCCCAAAAATCTGAAAGGCAAGTGCCCTTTGCTTTGAATGGCCATGATGCCTCTGCATTTGCACTCTCATTTCTGTAAATGACCTAAGTAGAAGACACACACACACACACACACACACACACACACACACACACAGTTCCTCGATCTTTTCAGTTTTAATACAGGCACTCTGACACACCGCCAATCTATAATAAGTGTTGATTTTCCAAGTAATTTTAGGGGTACATTTGTATCGAGAACACTCTAGTGATCATTTCTGATTAATTTAAAAGTGGAAATATGACAAGTAAATATTTCAAGAATTAGTGGAATAGTAGTAAAATAGTAAACAACGTTTATTTTGACTAAATATAGTGTACTTGTGTGTAGAATAATTGTGAATTTAATGCTACTCTTCTGCTCCATAGAACTTATATAAGCATTAGCCTCTGAAAACTTCAGATCAGATGAGCACTAATCATGTTACTCTCTGTTACAGGTGAAATCTTTGAGCTGAAGGCCGAGCTGAACAATGAGAAGAAGGAGAAGAGGAAAGAGGCAGTGAAGAAAGTCATTGCAGCCATGACAGTGGGCAAGGATGTCAGGTGCTTTGACTGTCTCGTTTATCACCATTACTGAATCAGATATGCACTCATACCTCCCACATTTCTTAAAAGATGATTATTTTGACCCTAATAGTTATGCTAATACCTTTTTACCTGTATCTTTAGTTCCTTGTTTCCAGATGTGGTAAACTGCATGCAGACCGATAACCTGGAGCTGAAGAAACTGGTTTACCTGTACCTTATGAACTATGCCAAGAGTCAACCTGACATGGCCATCATGGCCGTTAACAGCTTTGTCAAGGTGAGAATTGTTGTTAAAGTTTGGATCAAATTTGGACATCAGTGTACTATGATTTTGTAAAATTCCACCAAGAGGTCTGAAGTTATTCTTTCTTTTTTTTTAGGACTGTGAGGATCCAAACCCTCTGATCCGAGCTCTGGCTGTGCGTACAATGGGCTGTATTCGTGTGGACAAGATCACTGAGTACTTGTGCGAGCCTCTGCGAAAGTGTCTGAAGGATGAAGACCCCTATGTGAGGAAGACCGCTGCAGTGTGCGTGGCCAAACTGCATGACATCAATGCACAGATGGTGGAGGACCAGGGCTTCCTGGATTCTCTCAGGGACCTGATCGCTGATTCCAACCCCATGGTTAGATACTTTGGATCTAATTGTCCTAAATGCATACTTCCCCATTCACAATTCTTTACTGATATCTGATTTTCACATAGGTTGTGGCTAATGCAGTTGCTGCCCTGTCTGAGATCAGCGAGTCTCACCCCAACAGCAACCTTCTGGACCTGAATCCTCAGAACATCAATAAGCTCCTGACAGCCCTCAATGAATGCACTGAGTGGGGTCAGATCTTTATCCTGGACTGTCTCTCCAACTACAACCCCAAAGACGAGCGTGAGGCCTATTACTATCAGCCATGATTATTCTACTCTGTTAATTAAAAGGCTGTTTATATGCATATTGACTAATTGTTTACGAGAAGCATACATGTAAGAGGCTGACAATTAACTGAACATATACTTGTTTAATTAGTGACACTTAGCCTGCTTTTTAAAATCTTTTTAAATAAATTTTTTTTTCTATTTTTAAACCTTTATATATGGCAACATCGTGCTCTACAATATTTCTATGAATAAATCTCTGACAGAGTCTATCAGCCAATCACTGTGTGCATAGTAAGCAAGCATGATGACATCATCCATAGCAACGAGGTCAGCCCCGCCCCCTTACTCTGAGCTTAAGACTTCTCTCTATTCCTTAGTAAAAGTTTGTCTCAGCAGCTTTGTGAATAGGTTTTAAGAGAAAACTCTTAGCTAAAAACTTTTACTGAAGTTTAGGAGAACTCTTAGTGGTAAGATAAAATGTTTTGTGAATACGGGCCCTGATCTAAAACCCCTGAGCAATTTACTCACAGTTTGATATGATATTTTCTGTATGTTGTTTTAGACCATGTATGTTCAGTTCTGGTGTTTCGTTCTTTATTATGAGTCATGATAGTTTAGTGATGTAAATTTGGGTTGGACTCGGACTGAAATCCTGAGATTTTGAAAATATTTTAAACCAAGATAAAACCAAGAAAAATTACAACTGAACTCAAAACCCAACTCCATATAAAAATAATTATCTATAATAAAAATTTACTTGAAGTTTCACTGTAATAATACTACAATGTCTTCAGATCCCATTACATACTTTTAAATCATGAACTGGAACAGGAACATGCATTATTAATAAGATATTATCATTGATTCAGTATTCCAGATCCCCCCAACCACCCACACGTAAAAACCCATTGGATATGCACAAATCATAGAGGCTAAAATACACGTTTTGACTTCAAAATGTGAATTTCACCAAAGGCCACTGATTTTGAGGCATTATCAGTTCTGTTCCTGCAATAATTGTGGAACAGAATTATAAAATGTAAAAATATTAAATTTTTGTTCTTGAAATTTGCATTCAAATATGTTTGGCCCAAAAATCTGAAAGGCAAGTGCCCTTTGCTTTGAATGGCCATGATGCCTCTGCATTTGCACTCTCATTTCTGTAAATGACCTAAGTAGAAGACACACACACACACACACACACACACACACACACACACACACAGTTCCTCGATCTTTTCAGTTTTAATACAGGCACTCTGACACACCGCCAATCTATAATAAGTGTTGATTTTCCAAGTAATTTTAGGGGTACATTTGTATCGAGAACACTCTAGTGATCATTTCTGATTAATTTAAAAGTGGAAATATGACAAGTAAATATTTCAAGAATTAGTGGAATAGTAGTAAAATAGTAAACAACGTTTATTTTGACTAAATATAGTGTACTTGTGTGTAGAATAATTGTGAATTTAATGCTACTCTTCTGCTCCATAGAACTTATATAAGCATTAGCCTCTGAAAACTTCAGATCAGATGAGCACTAATCATGTTACTCTCTGTTACAGGTGAAATCTTTGAGCTGAAGGCCGAGCTGAACAATGAGAAGAAGGAGAAGAGGAAAGAGGCAGTGAAGAAAGTCATTGCAGCCATGACAGTGGGCAAGGATGTCAGGTGCTTTGACTGTCTCGTTTATCACCATTACTGAATCAGATATGCACTCATACCTCCCACATTTCTTAAAAGATGATTATTTTGACCCTAATAGTTATGCTAATACCTTTTTACCTGTATCTTTAGTTCCTTGTTTCCAGATGTGGTAAACTGCATGCAGACCGATAACCTGGAGCTGAAGAAACTGGTTTACCTGTACCTTATGAACTATGCCAAGAGTCAACCTGACATGGCCATCATGGCCGTTAACAGCTTTGTCAAGGTGAGAATTGTTGTTAAAGTTTGGATCAAATTTGGACATCAGTGTACTATGATTTTGTAAAATTCCACCAAGAGGTCTGAAGTTATTCTTTCTTTTTTTTTAGGACTGTGAGGATCCAAACCCTCTGATCCGAGCTCTGGCTGTGCGTACAATGGGCTGTATTCGTGTGGACAAGATCACTGAGTACTTGTGCGAGCCTCTGCGAAAGTGTCTGAAGGATGAAGACCCCTATGTGAGGAAGACCGCTGCAGTGTGCGTGGCCAAACTGCATGACATCAATGCACAGATGGTGGAGGACCAGGGCTTCCTGGATTCTCTCAGGGACCTGATCGCTGATTCCAACCCCATGGTTAGATACTTTGGATCTAATTGTCCTAAATGCATACTTCCCCATTCACAATTCTTTACTGATATCTGATTTTCACATAGGTTGTGGCTAATGCAGTTGCTGCCCTGTCTGAGATCAGCGAGTCTCACCCCAACAGCAACCTTCTGGACCTGAATCCTCAGAACATCAATAAGCTCCTGACAGCCCTCAATGAATGCACTGAGTGGGGTCAGATCTTTATCCTGGACTGTCTCTCCAACTACAACCCCAAAGACGAGCGTGAGGCCCAGAGGTGAGGG